AGAGAAGTGTGTGCCCCTCTCTGTCCTCCACCATCGGCCAGGCTCCTGTCTCCAAGGAAACCCCCCTTGCAGTAAGAAGCATCTTTAGCCAGGGGCCTGCTGCTCCTCTCCTTCTCTAGAGGGTCAGGGAGGGGGGGCTAGCACCATTTCTTCTCCCCACAGAGCCCTCTTGCCTCAGCTTGCAGGTGCCGGGAAGTTGATGGTGAAAGGGATTAGCGGTAGGATTCCTGTGGCCCCCAGAGCCAAGAGCCCTGTGGCTAGTGCCAAGGCCTCCTGCTGGGCACACACTAGGGCCTTGTCCTGGCTCCCCCCAAGACTGACTGGCGCTGGGGCATCACAGGTGGAAGACACTCATGGATGAGGTCCTGCTGCTGAATGAAGCCAAAGACTTCGAATGAGTGGAGCTGTCCAACATGGGAAATAGCTGAATCTGTCTTCCTGCAACCCTCCCAAGGCAGCTGGGGGAAGGAGGGGAGGGAGAGGAAATTGAGCTGGGCCATCTATACAGCGTGGCCTAATGGATGGAGTCCTGCACCTCAGTTCAACTGTCATCTCAAACACTGACTTGCTGTGTGACTCTGGGCAAGTCATTTAATGTCCTGGAGCCTCAATTTCCTCAACTGTAAAATGAAATTAATAATAGCACTCACCCCACAGGGTAGTTGTGAAGATTAAATCAGTCTATAAATCATTTGTAACCATTAAAGGGGTGATGGAAATGTGATCCAGGTTAAGAGAAGTGACATTCCCCTGAAGCCTTGAGCCCATGGGGTGGGAGTGGGGAAAGAGGAGGGAAGGATCCAGCAGCCATCCAGGGAGAGGCACCCTGTCACCTGTGTCTGCCCTCCAGTGTTAGCAATCTGTGAGTGAGCAGAGGGGGCACAGTAGAGGAAACCAGGCAGACACTGGCTGACACCGGCTGGCTGGGGACACCCGCACAGGACTCATTTATTCTCCCTGTTACTGGTGCTTCCTCACTACCCTCTGCCGACTGTCAGGGGTCATAGAATCCTAGATGTTCTAGCTGGAAGGAACCTCAAGGACCATCTAGTCCATGCCCTTTATTTCATAAATGAGGAATCTGAGACTCAGAGAACTTACATGACTTTCCCAAGATCACACAGGCAGAAGAAAGGAGCCAAGGTGGGGCATGAGCCCAAATTTTCTCATTCCACATCCAGTACACTTTCCACTATGCTGCCCTATCTAGGCTCTCTTCTAACCCTCCTTAAGCTGATTGTCATGGATGATTGCAATCAGGTCTGGAAACAATTGGGTTGGTTTTTTTTTTTTGCATTTGGGAGCCCAGATATACAGTTTTTATTTTAAAAATATTTTATTTATCTTTTTATTTAATTACCAAGCTTTTTTTTTCCTTTCTGCCACCTTACCCTTAATTAAAACAAAACAAAAACAAAACTCCTTATAATAAATATGCATAATCAAGCAACAGGAATTCTCTATTAGCCATGTTAAAAAAATGTGCCTTCTTTTGCATATGAGAACATCACTGCTCTGTTGGGAGGGGGGCAGCTGCTTCAGTCATCCCCAGATTTACGAGTGATCACTGCTCTGGTTGACAGTCCCCAAGGCTTTCAGAACTGGTCAATTTTACAATGTTATTGCTTTCTAAATTGTTCCCCTGGTTCTGCCTGCTTGACTCTGCATCATGTAAGTCTTCTCTGGGCCTACATTTTAGGAAGAGTCCAAGCTGAAGGGCACCCAATACAAACTGTTAGGGTGGCCATGATAGAGAAGGGCCTGGAAGCCAAGCCATACTGGACTGATGGCCAGTTCTGAGCTACTTCTCTGGCTGTCTCCTAGCAGCTTATTATGGGGGAAAGGAACAGGAGAAAGGTCTGGATATGGACTCCCTTAAAGGAGCCAGCAACTTTATGACCAGAGTCCCCTAGCAGTGACATAGTCTGGTATGGGGCATGGAAACCTGCTAGCTAAGGGGCTAGTATAAACATGGAGGTGAATTGAGGGTGTGGGACTGTTATGGTCCCCATTTTTTAAAATCTGAAAGCAATCCAGAGGTTGGCTGGGCATGCTTTTTATGGGGGGGGGGGAGCTAGGTGGTGAAGTGGATAGAGCACCCAGCCTGGAGTCAGGAGGACCTGAGTTCAAATCTGGCTGCAGACCAGACACTTGACACTAGCTGTGTGACCCTGGGCAAGTCACTCAACCCCATTGCCTACCCCCTCCCAAAAAAAGGGAAGGTGGATGGGGAGAGAATGGAGGTATCTTGCCTAATATAATCCAGTTGCAGGTGAAAAAGAGGAAGAGAAAACTCAGGATTGGATGGCCTGAGAAGGTAGTGAGTTCCCCATCACTAGAGATCCCATTTGGGGCACAGAATGTACAGGTTACACAGGATCACAGATCCGGGGCTAGAAGGAATCTCGGAGATCATCTAACAAATCCCCTCTTTTTACATCTGGGGAAACTGAGCCCATGAAGTGGGCAGTGAGGTGACTTTCCCCAGGGTCACACAGCTAATGAGCATCCTAGGAAAAACCTGAAGCCCTCCCATTAGGGAAGGGGTGGAACCTATGGAAAGATTTTTGCTGTCAGGTGAGTAGCCCATATCAAGGATAATGAATATGGAGTTGGGGAGCTGCGTTTGAATCCTGTCTCTGCCACTTATTGCCTGTATGTCTCTTTGAGCCTCAGTTTCCTCATCTGTAAAGTAGAGGGCTGGGCTAAATGACCTCTAAGGCTCCTTCCAGCTCTGGGTCTGCTTTGCTCATCTGTGGAATGGGCTTTACAACACAATATGGGCTGCGTTGTTTGCTTGTGTTGTGAGGTTCAGAGAAGGGACATAAGAGTTTTTAAAGCGTGAGAGCTTTATGACTAGGCAATTAGCAAAGGCTGCGTGCCTGGGCAAGCCATTGAGGCCTCCGAGCCTCATTTTCCTCACCTGCAATAATAATAATACCAGTGATGAGTCCCTGTCTGGGGGAGTGGGAGTGGGCTGAGCTGGGAGGTTCAAATGGACCCAAATTGCTTTCAGCCCGACCTAAATGTCTACTATTACTGCCTGTGGGATCTGGGACACATCCCTTTGATGGGCCTCAGTTTCCTTCTCTGTCATGAGAGTGTTGCCTGGAAATGGCTTCCAGCTAAGGTCACTCGATGCCCCGATTCTATGATTCTCTGGCTAGGGATCTTCCAGCACTGCCATGGCTCTTCCATTCTTGGATGCTATCAGTTAACGGATGGTGGTGGTGATGATCAAAGGAACATCTGCCTAATAGAGTCAGAGCCCAGCAGCCCACAGCCTGAGAGGGACAGAGAGAGACAGAGAGACAGAGAGACAGAGAAAAGGAAGAAAAGGAAGCTGGGGTGGGATAGACGGGTGTCGAGGAGGCCTCAGGACCGCTCCCGGCACAGAATCCAAAGCACAATCTGAACGGAACCGGGGTAGAAGGGGCTGGGCGAGGAGCTTGGGAATTAGGAATACCAGGTTTCTACGCTAGAGGAGGTTTGGCTCAGGCTAATGACCTGTTCTTACAGTCTCTTGTCTTGCTTCTCCCTTCCACTCCACTTCTGAAAGCCCGGGACAGCCCACACCTCCTCTCCCCCTCAAAGGGGCTCCCTCCTCCCGGTCCGGGTGTGTCTCTTCCTACCTCTACCCAGATCCCAGACAAATTGTGGGTCCAGAACTAGGCTCCAGCCCCTGTTAGCGCTGCAGATGCAGCCACTTAAAAAAAATTCTTTTTTTCCGGGGTCAATAACACACTCTCCTTTCCGCCTTCTCCGTTGGCGGAAGTCAAACTGGTCAATCAATTTACTGTTTCTCACCCCCAATATTCTATTACCCGTCCCTCCTCCGTGCCTTTGCCTTAACGGTCGCTGGGTCTGGAAGGCTATCCCTCCCCTACCTCCGCCTCTTAGGAGGGTCAGCTTAAGCCTCACCTACAGGAGTCCTAGCCGGCTTCCTCTAATCCGAGGGAGTCTGAGTCCGAGAATCTCCAGGACTCCTGGGTTAGATTGCCAGAGGAGCCCCAAGCTGGGATGGGGGTGGGGTGGGAGGATGTAGAACAGCATCTTTATTTTTGCGAGGCTCTAACTGAAATTGAGCATTTCCTTCAGGGATCTAAAAACACGATTCTGAGAAGGGGTCCGTGGGCTTCCCTAGACTGTGTGTAGGGGGTCCATAACCCGACAAAGGTGCAGAGTTATTGGGGCCTTATCCCCCCCCACCCCCGCCGCCGCCCCCAGCACACACACTGTCTGTCTACTAAAGCACTAGACCTTGATTTCATTAGAAACTCTCGGTGAAGAAACTCCCTTCTACCAAATCTTTGGGCGAGGTGGGCACTAGCTCTGGAATTTAATAGCGCAGTTTCTGGGGAGAACTGGGATTAAGTGGCTGGGCCAGGGGTCACAGGGCTCTGCTCCGACACTTTGTGCCTGAGGCCAGAGGTCTTCTGACCCAGAGGCCAGCTCTCCAGCCACACCAAGCCGCGCTGCCTCTATTACGTTGTCCATGTTTTAAGGGCACATGTAAGCACCCACTAGTGGAATTAATAACCAAGAACTTAACTGCTCGCGATGTGTCTCCTCCTCTCTGCTAGAATGTAAGCTCTGTGAGATCAGGGACCGCTTCATGTTTCTCCCTGAATCTTCACTGCCTAGCACTTTATAAGCACCTATTGGTTGAATTCTGGGTAGTGGGTTAAATGCTGGACTTGCTGTCCTGAAGACCTGCGTTCCAGTCCCATCTCAGACACTTACTATGGCTGTGACCTTGGAGGCAAATTCCTTTCCCTCTCTGGTCCTCAGTTTCTTCACCTGTAAAACGACGGGATTTGGACTCGATGACGTCTGACTTCCTTTTCAGCTCTACGTCTGTGATACTATGACTAGATCGCCGTGCCCTCCGAAAGAAGCGCACACCACAGGTAAGCCTTTCCTGCCGAGGGTTTTATTGGACTCCGGGCAGCCACGCTCAAACACACGAACAGTCTGGCCCGGTCCCCGGTGCCCTCCCTCCCTCCCTCTGCCCAGATCCCCAGGTGCCTGCCGGGTGAGAAGTCTCTGTCCGACCGCCGCCCATCCTGTCACACCTTGGTGGCCAGCGAGGCCAGCTCGGAGCGCTGCGTGGGGCCGCTGGCCCCGCTGGCGCTGGCGCTGGACGAGACGGGAGCCGCGGGCTCCCCGAGCTGGGGCCCGGACGCGGCCGGGCGGGCGCGGCGCCCCGGACGGCCGGGCAGCAGCGGCCGCAGAAGGCAGCGGGGCCCCGGCAGCAGGCGCCGGCGGCACTGCGCGCGGAAGCGCCGGTCCAGGAAGGCGTAGAGAGCGGGTTGAGGCAGCTGTTCACGTAAGCCAGGCAGGTGGCGTAGGGGTGCAGGCGCACGATGAGTGCCTGCGCGGCGCACGGCAGCGCCAGGAAGCCCAGCCAGCTGAGCACGTAGAGGCTCTTGAGGACGTGGAAGGGCAGCCAGCAGAGCGCGAACACGGCCACGAGAGCGGCCAGCAGGCGCAGCAGGCGCCGCCGCGGGGCCCGGCCCGCCGCCCCCGGCCCGCGGCCCCCGGCGCCGAAGTGGCGGCTCACGGCGCAGCCGATGCAGCAGTAGAAGACGCCCATGAGCCCCGCGGGCAGCGCGAAGCCCAGCAGCGTGGTGGCCAGGCTCAGGCCGCCCAGCCAGTAGGCCTCGTGCTCGGGCGCGGCCGCCACGCCGCTGAAGTCCATGTCGCACACCGTGAGGTTGGCGGGCGGCCGCGCGCGGGTGTCCCGCAGCAGCAGCGCGGGCAGCGCCAGCAGCGCGGCCAGCAGCCAGAGCGCGGCCAGCGCCGCGGCGGCCCCGCGGCGGGCGCGCGGCGGGGCCGGGCCGCCGCGGCGGCCCAGCGAGCGGCCCACGGCCAGGTAGCGCTCGAAGCTCAGGCCCGTCAGGCAGAAGGCGCTGGCGAACATGTTGAGCAGCACCAAGTAGCTGCTGAGCTTGCACAGCGCGGCGCCGAAGGGCCAGTGGAAGCGCAGCGCCGTGTACGCGGCCCACAGCGGCAGCGTCACCACGAAGGCCAGGTCGGCCAGGGCCAGGTGGCCGATGTAGGCGTCCGAGGCGCGCCGCTTGGCCCCGGCGCCCGCGCCCGCGCCCCCGGGGGCGCGCCACACCGTGACGATCACCACGCCGTTGCCCGACAGCCCGAGCACGAAGACGAGCATGTAGAGCACGGGCAGCAGCGAGTAGGACAGCTCCCAGTCCTCGGCCTCGTCGTCCTCGCCGCCGCCGCCGCCGCCGCCGCCGCCGCACGTCGCGCCGCCGCTGCCGTTGTAGTAATCGTAGTAGTAGTCGGGCGCCGGGCCCCGGGGCTCGGCTGTCCAGGGCTCCATGGCTGCGCGGCCCGGCCCGGCGGAGGCTCAGCGCGACCCCGAAGCCGGAGACTTAGCCCTATAAAGAGAGGCGGCCCCCGCTGCCACTCTCCCCACCCCTTCGGGGGAAGGGCCGGAGCCTGCGTCCACCCCCAGGCCCCCGGCCCTCCCTCCACCGCCCGCCCCGGCCGCATGCAGACCCCGCCCTGTCTCTGGGAGCCCCTTCGTCCCCTCCAGCCTGCCCACCTCCCCCCCCCCCGCTACTTTCTCCCCCTCCCCAATTCTTCTGCCGGGGCTGTGGGGGACTGTCTCAGCTCAGCCGCTGCCCTCAGGGGGGGAGGGAGCCCCGACCGGGTCCTGCCGGCCCGCCTGGGAGCAGGGGCGGGATGGGTCGGGAGCCTGGCTCCCGGAGATCCCCAGCTGCCGCTGCCCTCTCCCCTTAGCCCACTCCGAGACCGCTTCCTCACCTTCTCCCGGCGGGTTTCGGCCTCTTCGGCGCAGCTACTTCCTTCCCTGAACCCCCCTTTCAGTCCGAGGCAGTCAGGGGCCCTGGCATGCACACCCCCGTCCCCGCCAGCTTCCTGCCTCGGAAGACATCCACCCAGGTCCTTAACCTCTGTCCTTAGCTCCCAGCCCTCCCCCCCCACCCACCCCCATCCAGTCGCGGACATCTCGGCTCTCTCCCTTCCCTCACACGCACTCCCCCTCTGGCCTCCCCTCTCTTACAGAGCCCTCATCCTTCCTCTTCCTCTCACCGATGCCCCCACACCTTTCTCGCGTCTGCCACATAGCCAGCTTCCTCCTACTCCTTCACATGCAGCCGTTCTTCGCTGGCTCACACTGCCTCTTATCCGTCTCTCGCCCTCAAGCACCCTTCTCCCTCTCCCCAGACACTCCAACCCTCCACCGGCACACAATCCCCTCTCTTCCTCCCTCCCTGCCCGGGATCCACACACCTAGTTAACACTGTACCCTTTCGTCTTTAGACCCAGGCTCTGCCAATCAGCACCCATGTGACCCTAGACAAGTCACTCTTTGAGCCACCATTTCCTCTTCTGTAAAATGAAGGGGCTGGGCAACCTGACCTCGGAGGTCACTTCCAACCCTGGGTCTATGATCCTCTGGATGCTCTGGGCCTCAGTTTCCCCTCTAAGTCCAGTACGCTTCGTCTCTGCACACTCACCTTCCGTTCTTTCTCACGCGGTTTCACACAGCTCCCCCTTCCTTTCCTGAGCCATTTGTCTCTGAAGTCTGTCTGAGAAGAGAAGCCCTCCCCCCATCCCCACCCCCACCCAAGGGGCTGTGAGAGCTTGTCAGTGTTTTCCCAGAGCCCAGTGAAATGTTTTCCTTCTCCTTGGGGATGTGTTTTGCTGGGACATTCACAGGGAGAGCTGCAGCCTGTCCCCCGCCCCCCTCTGGGAGCTGGGGATTCTTATGATAAGAGATGGATCCAGATCCCAACCAAAGCTTCCCCCCATCGGGGGAATTAGGAGTGTTTGTTCAACGGGGGCTGGAGGGACTGAGGACCAGTTAGCTCCGGCCCAGCCCCCTTCCCAGTCCCAGGCTAGGGGAGAAGCTGGGAAAGGGGCTGGGGTGGGGCCAGCCTGTCCCCCGTGAGAAATCACAGGGGAGCCCAGCAGCTAAGCAGAAGCCAAACTTGCCGTTGGCAGCTCTTAATGTAGGAGAAAAAGCCCTAACCCTCTGATCGTAGCTCCAGAACTATGGTCTCTGTGAGGGAGTGCTGGACCTGGCATCAGGAAGACCGAGTTCTAATGTGGCCTCAGCCCCGGACTAGCTGTGGGAATCACTTAACCTCTTGTTTGCCTCAGTTTCCTCAACTGTAAGATGGGGACAATAATAGCACCTTCAACGGGGTTGTTGTGAGGATTAAATGAGATACTATTTGTAAAAAAGCACATTGCAGGAGCTATGTAAATACTTATCTTCTCTAGAGCTGGTCATCTTTTACTCCTGTTTAACAAATGGGGAAACTGAGGCCCAAAGAGAAGTAGAAATCTTAGATAAATTTTGCAGATGATCATACTGAGCGTCAGAGAAGGGAAATACCTTCCTCTACATCTGCTGGGCAGGAACGGGACCTGTGATTTCACTGGTGCAGGGATACCCCTGGCTGAGGGGACTCCTGTTCCTACTAATGCAGTTCAACATCGCTGAGATGCTGAGTCAGTCAGCAAGCGTTTATGAAGCATCTCCTATGGATCAGGCACTGTGCTAGAGGCACAGAAGGGGTGTGTGTGTGTGTGTGTGTGTGTGCGCGCGTGTGTGTGTGTGCGCGCGGTGTGTGCGCGTGTGTGTGTGTGCGCGTGTGTGTGTGCGCGTGTGTGTGTGCGCGCGCGCGCGCGTGTGTGTGTGTGTGTGTGTGTGTGTGTGTGTGTGTGTGTGTGGTGTTGGGGGAGGAGGAGTAAGATATCCCAAGACTGGGAAGAAAGGAAAGGAGCCAGGTTATGAGGCCAAACTGAGGTAACACATTGCAGATCAGCAGCGAGGCAGGGGCTGGATAAGTCTATCTGGGAATTATCAGTCCAGAGATAAACACTGAAACCACACGGGCTGAGGAGAACACAGATGAAGAGGAGCCAGGCCAGAGCTGAGGGGACACCCTCAGTGAGTGAGTGTGACCATGGATGAGACAGAGGAGGAGGGGTCAGACAGGCAGGAGGAGACATATAACAACCAGGACCTGGAAGGAAGATATTTACCTCTGAGCTCAGCCACTTCCTGGCTGTCACCTCTGTGGTCAGTAGGGACGTCTGTCGCCCACCAAGTTTCTAGTGCTGCCTTGTGTTGGGAGCAGGTCCTCACACTGAGGGTGCCTAGAACCGTCCCTGGATTTCCTCATGATGTCTGCTAATGTTGCTCCATCGTGTCTGACTCTCCGTGACCCCATTTGGGGTTTTCTCGGCAGAGATACTGGAGCTGTTTGCCGTTTCCTTCTCCTGCTTACTTTGCAGATGAGTAAACATGGTGAAGTGACTTGCCCAGGGTCACACAGCTAGTAGGTGTCTGAGGCCAGATTTGAACTCAGGGAGATGACTCTTCCTGACTCCAGGCTGTATACACTGTGGCACCTCCTAGCTGTGAAATCTTGGAAGCTGCCCAGAAGAGCTGAGAAAGATAGAACATTCTAGGCTCTCGGGGCTGCGTTCTGGCCAAAATGTTGTCGCCCAAACTTAATAATGGGCAGCTAGGTGGACTGCAGTGGATAGAGCACCAGCCCTGGAGTCAGAAGGATCTCAGTTCAAATGTGACCTCAGACACTCACTAGCTGTGTGACCCTGGGCAACTCTGAACCTCAGTGTCTTCATTTGTTAAAAGATGATGAGGATGGCATCTACCTCACAGGGTGGTTGCAAGGCTCCAGTGTCAAGCACTAGATGCATGTAAGTTATTATTATCCTTAAAACAAGTTCGAATTGGCTGCCTGCAGCCATCCCTCCTCCCCCAAGGCTGAGCTTGGCGTTCCCAGAATGCCTCGTTTCTCCATCCTGCTGGGGCTGGGGGAGCCGCAGGCCAGCAGGTCACGGCCCCTCCTTTGTCCTGACTCCCCAGGCTGCACTCACAGCCTGTAAACAGCTCTGCACCAGTAACTAGGCGGGGGGGGGGGGTGCCAGGATCCAGCCAGCTGCGGGCTCCGGTAGCCTCCCCCATCAGGCCCCTTCCCCTCAGCTGCCAACGAGGCACAAACAAGCCAGCTGGGAGGAAGCCCCCATGAAGATGCTTCCCTTCGGGTGACCCTTCTGCCTGACCCCATCTGGGCCCCAAGGAGCAGGAAGCAGAGACTAGGCAAGGGAAGGGCTCCTGGAAGGATGGTTGAGGCGGGTGGCCCGCGCTGGCCTGTCCTTGCCCTTGGACAGTCAGCCCCCACAGCTGCCAAGCACCTCTTGATGGGGGCATCTGGGCTGAAGAGGAAACCAGGGCTCAAGATCTACTGAGGCCCAGCCCTTCCCCAGGGGCAGCCTCTTCCTGAATCCCTGTCTGCCCCACACTCAGATCAGACCCAGGCCAATCACCGGGCTCTGGGCCTGGAGTCCTCACTTCATCCTCTCAGGGATGTCCCCACCTTATCCTGGGAAGGGCCCCAGCCTGGGAGTCTGAGACAAGCTTCAAAACGTTGCTATTGACCTTGGCCCAATCTTTTACCTTCTCTGGGCCTCAGTTTCCTCACGTGTTAAATGGTGATTGGAATCCATTCAACTAAGATTTATCAGATGGCCTCCTCCCCTTCACCCCAGCATAAAGACCTCCGTCTGGGCTCTGGAGAGGGGACAGAGTTTAACCAGTGTCATGGCCTTCCTTAAACAGGGAAGCAGAGCACAGACCCCAGCACCGCAACAGAGAACTGGAAAAGTGCAGTAATCTTAGAGCCCAGGTCTGGCCTGCTCCTCTCGCTCCTGGAGAAGACCCCGTGCCTTCCCATTGCTCCTGGGATAAACCACACACTCCACTTTGGGGCCTTTAATGGCTGTCTTTCCAGACAGTTCACCTTCCAACAAAGCAAGCTGGTTGCCCTAATTTAACATACCATTGCCCACCGCCACGCCTTTGTATTGGCTGTGTCTCCTGCCAGGAATGCTTTCACTCCCCTACTCCACTTTTTTTTTGTTTTTGGTTAGGCAACAGGGTTAAGTGACTTGCCCAGGATCACACAGCTAATAAGTGTTATGTGTCTGAGGTCGGATTTGAACTCGGGTCCTCCTGAATCCAGGGCTGGTGCTCTATCCACTGCGCCACCTAGCTGCCCCTAACTCAGCCTCCTCCTGGAAATCTTTCCTACTCCCCTTCATTGTTGGTGCTTAAATTGTCTTGGGTTTGAAGTATTCCTTTACCTGTATCTCCAAGACCTGTCACACCGTAGATGCATAACAAAACATCCTTAGATGCCTTTGAAGAGGGGAACGACTCCCAATGGTGATCCCAAGCCAGAGAGGTCATCCCGTGCTTGGAGGGGAGGGAGGGTGTCATCAGAGCTGGGCCTTGAAGGATGGGGAGGTTTCAGCAGGCAGAGGTATGAAGAGAAGGGTATTCTAGGCATGGAGGAGGAGGGGACAGACATGAGCAAAGGCCTGGGGGCTGGAAACATGGGCTAGATACAGAAGTTGATGACTGTCTAACAGTCTGGAGTTCAGGGTGTGTTTGGGATAGCAGGGGTGATAAGACAAGGAAAGGACTTTTGGAAATAGAATGGGAGGGCTTGAATGCCAAGTGAATGAATTTGGATTTCATTCAGCAGGTAATGAAGACCCACCCCACCCTCACCCCCCAATGCCAATAAATCCCTGTCCATAGCAGTATTTATTCCCAGGGATGGAATGGGAAGGGTGGAGGATGGGGAGCAGCCTGGGGTATCCATGGGAGATGATTCTTCTCCTGTGCCTTCTTCCATGGTGAATGAGCCCAGCAGGCCACGACCCCCAGGCCCAGCCTCCCGATCTCTGCTCCCCAGATAACAGGATTAGAGAAGGTTAGACCTACAAAGGTCCTTGGGGAACAACCCTTCCATTTTACAGGTGAGGAAACCGGGAAACTGGAAACTTATCCCGGGAAGGGCCCCAGCCTGGGAGTCTGAGACAAGCTTCAAAACGTTGCTATTGACCTTGGCCCAATCTTTTACCTTCTCTGGGTAAAAGATTTTCCAAGAGAGGAAAGGACATGACTCTTGTTATATGCCCCTGGCAGGGCTAGATTTGAACCCAAGCCTTTTGATGCCAGATCTTGGGCCCTTTCTTCTCATGGGCCCCTGCTTCTTTGCTCCTACCTCCGACCTCCCTAATTTCCCCTCCTCCCCTCCGATCCTGGTCTTGTGGACAGCCAGAACATCTGGATCCAGATCCCAGGTCAGCCCAGGTCAGCTGGTGCCTGGTTCTGGGGTTCCAGGCCTGATGCATTGGTTTCCATGGTTACAAATCAGGCTGTCCCGCCTCTACCCCGAGGAGAGAAAGAACTAGACCCAAGGCCAGGATGTATGGCGTGTTTACACAGGCTTTCACACTGGCACTCCGACTGTTTTCTTTAGCTCCCCCTCCCCCAGCCTTACCCTGAACTTGGCTTTTCCTCCGTGAAAAGGACACTGGGGGTGTGGAGTCATACACCGAGGGGTATTCGGCTGGATTCAGTGAAGGAGGAAGAAGCAGAGCTCTCCAGCCATGGTGGCCTGCCCCTGGGATGTAGCAACCAGCTCTCTGAAAAAGAAAAATGCACAGGCAACCCCCTTGCAAGCTTGATCTGCTCTAGTACCATTGTCTCCAACACTTTCTTAAGTCTAGACAACCAAGGAAACAATAAATAAAACCCTGACTTGTAGTATTCGCCAATTTTTGAGGTAGAGATGTTTACACTGAAAATTTACCAACTGGCTCTCTGGAGCCTGGCTCTAGCGCTGAACCGTAAACATTTATTAAGTGTCCATTGTGTGCCAGGCACTGTGCTGAGCACTGAGGGTACAAAAAGAGGCAAAAGAAATCCCTGCCCTCAGGGAGTCTGCCGTCTAATGTTACACCCCTGCCTGGCAGCGGGAATCTTCTCTTGGATTTCTTTCATCCATTCATTTCCTGACATTTATTGAGTCATTCACCTGTTCCCTCATTAGATTCCCAACCCACACCGGTACTGGCAGGTCGGGTCCCCAAAGGGGCAGATGCTACCACTTTCAAGGTTCTAGCAGTGACTCTGTGAGGGGCCAACCCCTAACGGCAGCTCATGAGCCCCCACCGGTGTGTTTCCTCTTGTAGGTGGCATAGCAGATAGAATGTTTGGAGCCAGGAAAACCTGAACTCAAATCTGGCCTCAGACACTTACTAGCCGAGCGACCCTGCTCAAGTCACTTGAATTTTGTCTGCCTCGATTTCCTTATCTGTAAAGTGGAGATAATAATAGCACCTGCCTTCCAGAGTTGCTGTGAGGATCAAATGAGCTCATATTTGTAAAGTGCTTCGCTAGCCTTAGAAATGCCAGCTATTGTCCTTAACCGCTAGCTAGTAGACTTCGTCCTGTAGCAAAGACATTAACTCCAGTGCATGCAAGTACAGCAGGGACATTTTTGTTGTTCGGTCATTTTTCAGTTCTGCCCCACTCTTGGTGACCCTATTTGGGATTTTCTTGGCAGAGATACTGGAGCGGTTTGCCATTTCCTTCTCCAGCTCATTTTACAGATGAGGAAACTGAGGCAGACAGGGCTAAGTGACTTACTCAGGGTCACAGAGCTGGATTTGAGACTGGATTTGAACTCGGGTCTCCCTGACTCCAGGCCCAGAGCTCAATCCACTGCGCCAGGTGGGGAGTGGCAAGAACGGATATAACCTGAAGATCCCATGGTAGTGAGGCACCTGTGTGGGAGACGCATGCGACCAGGACAACTCACAGCCCTGAAGCTGGGGGCCTCAATGGGGCAGTCTGGGAAGGCTCTCTGGAAGAGGAAACTGGTCCCGGAAGCGCAGGAGGACTTGGATCGGGACAAGGATCCCTAGGCCCCACCTGGCCTTTCCCCGGCCTCCTTGGAGGCACTTCAAAGGCTGGCTGGACATGACCTCACTCATTCTCCCTGGGCTCTGGGCAGGGGATATTCTTAGCCTCGTTTCCATCCAGACTCAGGCCACGGGCTTTCCCAGAATGGACCCTCACCTGTCCTTAATGCGTGAGGAAGCAGGCCTGACTCAGAACCAGAGTCCTCCGAGAGAACCTGGCTAGAGCCAGCCTTTTTGTTTTAGATACAGGGAAAGTGAGGCTCGAAAAGACCAAGTGTTACCCAAGGTAACCTGGGCAGTAGATGGCAGTAGATGGCAGCATAGAATCCAGCCCTCTGCCCTCGGCCTTCTCCACTGAACCATCCTTTCTTCCTAAGCCCCTTAGGGTCGTGGTCACATTGAGGATGGGGGAGAAGGAAGCCAGACTCCCAAGCCCCGTCACTCCCTTCTTCCCCAGAGAAGGCCAGGCACAAAGCTAGGAGAAGCGTGGCCTTGGGAAGGAGAGACCAGGGCTGATCTTGACGTCCTTCCCCATGCCTCTGGCTTCCTGCTCCCTGCTCTGAGCCCCGAGATTTGGGTAAGGATCTGAGAGACTTGAGGGTCTGGGAACCAAGGGGAACAGGACCCAGCCATCACAGAGCTGGACAGCTGGACACGCACACACATGCATACATATACACAGACACATATACACTTTTCCTGTCTCTATCAGCTCACACGATCCTCCCCAGCTCCCTGATTCTTCCCATCTATCATTGCTTACAGTGCAATACTGTCCCAACATTTCATTACATTCATGTACTCCAAGACCGCTGGTGTCTGTGGGCCCTTTCCTCCTGTCTTTGTCCCCCCAGCAGCGGTATTTCTGGGCCGCTGTCCCTTCTGTACTATAATTCCATGTTGTTTTCCATAAAGTCACTGTCGTTTCCAATTCCACCAGCATACGGTGGGCCTGTCTTTCCACAGCCCCTCCAGCACCGCCTCCTCTCATCTTTTGTTGTCTTTGCCAGTTTGCTGGGTGGGAAGTGAATCAATCAACATTTAAATGGCCACTGGTGTTGTTTGTCCTTTCTAGAAGAGGACCGTGAAGTCACACCAGCAGGGTGATGTTGTGACGTGCAAGTGAACTGTATTTAAGTGAGGCAGGGCTGTGCAAAGTCACCAGCCTCACTCTCTCCTCCGGAACCATCAGGTCCTGTGGCCGGATATGGATCAGGACCACTGGAGATGCCACCCCCCACCCACCCCCAAACTCCAGCTTCATGCAGGGGGGGGACCTTGGCCTTTTTAAGCTAAGGTTTTTAACAGGTCTTAGCTAGACTGAGGCAGTGCCCATTCATTGATTAAGGCTGGGTAAGAAATGAGGCAGAAAATGGCCTCTTTTACCTCGTCCAAAAAAACCCCCAACAATCTGGGAAGGGAAGATTCTCAGGTTTTCTAGCCAAAATAGGAACAATTACTGTTTGTATTCATTCTGAGCCAATCAGGGCCCAGACAATGACCAAGTGGAACTTGGACTGAGACCTATTGTTGGCCAATCAGTGAGAGCCAGAGTGATTTGGGGTTAGGGCAGGCCTGTACAACACACAGGCAGAGGGCCAAAGCCCCCCCCCCCCCGGGGCAGTATGTTATGCAGGCCTGTTTTACATCCTCTACATTTTTTGCGGGCTGTCCAAAATCCTTTCCCAGGTGGCCCTCCAGCCAAATGTTGTGCAGGTCAGATTTAAGGTATAGTCCTTTTTTTTTTTTTTGCAAGGCAATTGGGGTTAAGTGACTTGCCCAGGGTCACACAGCGAGCAAGTGTCAGGCGTCTGATCTGAGACTGGATTTGAACTCAGGTCCTCCTGACTCCAGGGTGCATGGTCCTTTAGAAAAAAATCTAGCCAGTAAAACCCAAGATATCTTGTGAGGTTTCATTGGTCAAAATTTACATTCCTTGGGCAAAGTACCTGCAGGTACGGGTATGAGCCAGGCAGCTAGGCTAGGTGGCTCAGTGGATAAAGTAAGGCCCTTGAGTTAGGAAGATCCATCTTCCTTAGTTCAAACCTGGCCTCAGATACTTACTAGCTGTGTGACCCTGGACAAGTCACTTAACCCTGTTTGCCTCAGTTTCCTCATCTGGAAAATGAGCTGGAGAAAGAAATGGCAAACCACTCCAGCATCTTGGCCAAGAAAACCCCAAATGGCGTCAGGAAGCATCGGACATGACTGAAAAACACCCGAACCCCAACACAAACCAGGCACTGTGCTAAGCACCAGGAAATAAAAAAAGAGGCAGAAGACAATCCGGGTCCTCGGGGAGCTTACAACCCAATGGAGAAGCCAAAGAACTGTTTTCCTTTGCATTTCTGTTATTGTCAAGCGATCAATAAACATTTATTAGACTTGTGATTTTAATGGGGAGGCAGCTCCCTTGTGACACCTTCTCTGAGAGTTAGCCAGAGGGTTGTCTGGGGGCACTGAGAGGGTAAGTGGGCTAACCCAGGGTCATACAGCTGTCAGGGCCTGGACTTGAACCCAGGTCTTCATGAGTCAGGCCAGCCCACGGCCCTCTCTGTGATGTGGCCTCTCTTCCACGTGGTTGTATGTTTGTACATATCCATTGGGGAATGACCCTTGATTTTATACATTTTGTTAGTTCCCCATAGATCTTAGCTATCATGCCCTTATCAGACATGTTTAATACAAAGTTTTTCCCCACATCGGCACGCGCTTTGTGGTTTACAAAGAGGTGACAGCCCATTTGTCAGGTAGGAAGTACAATTATGCCTCAGAGGCAGAACTAGGGCAGGGCCGCTGGAGTCTTGCCCAGGGCACTGAAATTTCAAGGACGCTAAATTAGCAGGAAGAACTAGATCCTCCCTGAGGCCACAATCCAGGCCCAGCCCAGCCCTGCTTCCTTCCCAGAGGACTGGGATCTTCTCGCTGCCCAGGGATCTTTGTCTCCTCACTCTGGGGAACAGATGTCCCTAGCTGGCCACCTCTAACTGTGCTCGACCTGGGCACCCAAAGTGCTACTGCAGCCTCTGTTATCAGCCCCATTTTACAGGTGAAGAATCTTGGGCTGAGAGAAGGGAGATGCCTTGCTCACGGTCATGCAGCATTAGGGCTGGGAGAGTTCAATGACTCTGCTGACCGCAGGCCCAGCCCACTTTGTCCCAGATTCTTCCTTTTGAGACCCCAGAGATGGGGAAAGGGGGGTGGGGAGAAGAGGCAGAGAGAGGAGAAGAAGAAGGGAAAAGAAGGAGGAGGAGAGAGAGAGCGAAAGAGAAGGGAGGGGGAGAGGGAGAGAAGAGAGAGGGGTTGTCTCTCCTGATAGAATGGAAGCTTCCTGAGGATAGGAATTGTTTCATTTTTGTCTCGGCGTTGGCAGCACCTATCCTGGCGCCAGGTACACTATCAATGCTCAATAATTAATATTGAGGCATAATGGCCAGTTCCTCTCCACGGTCCTCCTTTCCTTCCACGCCTGCCCAGCGGACACTTGGCTTGCACCTCTTGGCCCCCCGGCCCTGGTGAGCGAGCCTTTTGTCTATCTGGCTGAGGCCCAGGCCTCCGGGCTGTCCCCTTCCCATGCCCCTGTCCCAGCACCTTTCCCCCTCATGTGTTGCCTTCTCTCGTTAGAACACAAGCCCCTTGCAGGCAGGGACTGGTTCATTTTTGTCTTTGCAGCCTCTGTTTCTGACACGATGCCTGGCCCATCATAGGTGTTTAAGGAATCCTTGTGGGTTGACCAGCTCCCCCTACAATCTCCTTTGACA